TAAAAATTGTAATAATTTCATGAAAAAGGTAAACATTCAAACCAATAGCAATTAAATGTCAAATTTTTTATATGTTATACTTAGTGAGAAATTTACCATAAAATATAGAATATGAAAAATTTAATTCAACAAATAACATTACATATTTTTTACACTCAAATGCTAAATCTACAATTGACACATTAATTATAACATTAAATTGGAGATGCTCTGATATGTTTTTTCCATTACACTAATTTCCTTACTAGGAATCTTACTTCCCATAATTAAATCCTTATTTCAATAATTGAGGGAAAAAAGAACTCCAACCTCTAACAAATCCAAAATATAAAAGTTGATTTAAACAAAATTGCTTTCCTTATGATTTAAAATTTGATCAAAATTGTCCTATTTGACGAAGACACATTATAATGGAAGTTATACTTGACATTTTTTCTTTTCTTTTCTTTTCTTTCTTTTCTTTCTTTTTTTCTTTTTTTCTTTTTTTCTTTTTTGCTTGTATAAAGGTCATAATTAACTTGCCACATTGTAGTGGACTACCATTTGGTCTTTTGTGATTTTTTCCATGATACAAATTGTCATCATTTTCTTTTGCAGTAAAATCATTACAAATTGGTATCATTGAAGCAACAAGAAAGTGTTTTAAATAAAGTAGAAAAATAAAGAAAAATCATACTATGTAGTTTGTAGCATCTAAAAGCACTGCACCATTAAAAAAAAAACCTTTATATAAAGGTATATAAGAAATATACGTTATTTTTTCGTTTTTTTTTTTTTTTTTGCTAAAAAGAAAATATACATTATGTTTGCAAGAGTAAATTACTCTATATCATTTCTAGCCCAAAAAACAAAAAAAATTACACTCCATTATTGTGAAAATGGAAGAAAGACATGTTGCCACTTACCCAACACTTAAAACAAAATGGTTAAAAATATCTTCCTCTGTTTTTAGAGGTTTGCAGGATCCGGTGTCGTTTTATCGAAATTCCAAAAAAAAAAAAAAAAAAAAAAGCAAGTAAGCCAAGCGCGGTCAAAAAGAGCGTGCAGTAGGATCCACACTGATATAACTTGAGGTTGAATGTAGCTTGTTGGACTTTTTATTAATACAACTCTTTAATTTTATTGATTTAAATTTTGTTATAATAAAAATATTTTATAAATAGTTATATTTTTTTTTATAATAAAAATTTATTACATAAAATTACATCTTAATTCGAATTAAAAACTCAAATTGACGAATTGACGAGCCCATCATTTATGCGATGACGTAACTTGAGCTAACTTGGTACTATACATGGTACTATCAAATCGCATGGCAAAAATCTGATCTTCTTCTTCTCAATTTTATTTTCTTATGGGTACGATCCATATCTCAAGCAACATTTTGGTTCCAATAAAAGAAAAAAAAAACAGCTAGTTTGGAATTTGAAGTTTTCTTTTTCTATAAAAATGCTCAAAAAGTTCTCTAATGATTTTTAGAAAAATCTATACAAAAATACGTTCTGTAATTGTTCTACCCATACAGTAAGTTTATTTAACTCGTTTATTAAATTTAAAAAGTTTGATCCATGAGTTGAGATAATTTTGTGCCTTATCATGTACTATTATGTGGACACTTATAGATTAAATCTTTAAAAAATAATTAAAAAATATAATAGAGATAAATTAACATATATATATATATATTTTTTTTTTAAAAGTAAACTAATACATGATATTTGAGAAGGAAGATATTGTATGCAAATTGGTGCCGACTAAATCTATAGACTGTGGTTACGTGAATGAATTCACATGACAATAGATTTCACCTCAGATTAAGCATAGATAATGAGTATTTGTTAGATCAAAATTTGTGGAGTAATTTGTACTATTATTATTATTATTATTGATGTTAGATAGACCTTGTTTTTAAGGTAATGTTAGATTAGCTAGACGGACTGAAACAATTTTAGGGCTTGTTCGGTTACATTTTTGAGTTATGGTGACTTGAGTGTAGATTTTGAGTTGAATTTGAATTATAATTTTAGTTGAAGTTGTAACTTAAGTTTGTGTTTAGATGTGCACATTTGAGTTATGATTTGAATTGAAAATCTATTTGAGTTTGTGTTTGAGTTGATTAAAACTTAAATTTGTATTTAGATAGTATTTTAATAAAAACTCAATGGTGATGAAAATTTTTAATAGGGTATATATGAAGATTTTATTCGTCTATTCGTTGTGAACGCATAGAAAAAAATTATCTCAATCGAAATTAAAACGAAAAAGTTATGCCGTTTTTAAGAATATAAAAAATATTGCTCATTAACTTGAGTTTGAGTTTAAGAACTTAAGTTGAAGAGAAAACTTGAACTCAGATTTTAGCCCAAAACTCAAGTTAAAACTTGAGTTAAAACTCAAATTTTACAAACGAACAAGCACTTGAATAAAGTTGTAACTTAAATTCAAACTTTTTTTGAGTTTTACTCTAAAAGAACAAACCCTTGATCTTAATTATAATAGAAAATAGAGTGACTTTACTATTCATGTAGACACAAAACACTATTCAAATTTTGGTTAAGTTATTTCGGGCATGTTCCTTTGTCCATAAAACTCAAAAAAAGACAACTCAAATTTCAACTTTATTTAAGTTCACGTTCTTTTAAGTTTCAATTACACCCAATTTTACTCAACTTTATTCAAGTTCTAATTTCAACTCAAGTTATAACTCAAATTCAACTCAAAAATTACACTCAAGTTATAACTCAAATTCAACTTTATTAAAGTCATCTTGTGAGGTTGTTTTTTTTTTTTTTTTTAACTTTACTTTACTTTTGCCTCTTATTTTTTTTGCCCCCATTCCTTCTATATTTACTTATTTAGTCCTTTATTTTTGTTTTTTCTCTCACTCTTATTTAGTCTTATCATTTTAATCCATCATTTCGTATTTTTTTTTAGCTTTTTTTGCTTTCGTTTTTTATTTGCTTCTTTGATCATTCATTTTTGTTTTTCCTCTCACCCAAGAGAGTGACTTTACTATTTATGTAGATACAAAACACTATTTAAACTCTGGTTAAATTATTTTGTTCTCTTGTGATGTTGTTGTTGTTGTTTTTTTTTCTTACTTTACTTTTACCACTTGTTTTTTTGACCCCATTCCTTATTTATTTGTTTCTTTAGTCCTTTATTTTTGTTTTCTCTTTCACCCTATATAATCTTATCATTTTAGTCCATTATTTTTGTATTTTTGTATTTTTTGCTTTTGTTCTTTTGGTCCTCTTTCTTTTTTTATTTGCTTCTTTGGTTGCTCATTTTTATTTTTCCTCTCACCTTTATTTAATCTTATCATTTTAGTCCCTCATTTTTGTTTTTTATTTGTCTTTCTTCCTTTTATTTTTTATCCATCTTTATTTTTTTGTTTGCTTTTTTTTTTTCAAAAAAAAAAAAACTTTTCTAACTTTTGCCTCTTATTTTTTTGGCCCCCACTCCTTCTTTGTTTGATTATTTAATCCTTTATTTTTATTTTTCTCTCATCCTTATTTAATTTTATCATTTTAGTCCCTCATTTTTATACTTTTGTATTTTTGTTGCTTTTCTTCCTTTGTTTGGGTACTCTTTCATTTTTTTATTTGCTTCTTTGGTCCCTCATTTTTATTTTTCCTCTAACCCTTATTTAATCTTATTATTTTAGTCCTTCATTTTTTGTATATGTTTTTTTCTTCCTTTTGGTTTTTTTTGATCCCTCTTCCTTTTTTGTTTGCTTCTGTAGTCCCTCATTCTTGTTTATTTCCTCATTTCCATTTTTAAAAAGATTCTCTATAATAATTAATTAACTAATTATTTAATTATGTAATTAAAAGTTACTTATTTATTTAGAAAATAGAATATTAATACATTATTAATATACTAATTATTTTTTATTAATACACTAATTAATTACTTATAAATTAATTATTTATATACTAATTATTAATTACTTTTTAATTATTTAGCATATTAATTTATTATATATATAATTTTATTATTATATAGTCACTAATAATAATATATCAATTATTATTATTTTTCTATCATTTTTTTCTTTCTCTTTTTTTCCTTACGATTGTATAACCGTTGTTTTAAGTAAATTTCACGCGCGTTTTTAATTGATAATAGTTGAAATTTTGATGAAAGGATAATCTACACAAAAAAAAGAGTAGATATTTTATTTTCTAAAAGTAATCCGTAAAATTTGCAAATTTAAATCGTGTTTTATTTATTTTATTTTATTTTTTGAAGTTTCAATTTTTCTTCTAGACTCATAGTGTGAAAATAAAACAAAAAAAAAAAAGAAAAAATCTCCCCACGAATCACGAATATTGATAACCGAGTCCGATCGACCACACTCAAATCATATGAATGGAATGTGACCTTGATTTTTCATTTTCTTACTTTACTTTTTTCCTCTCTTTTTGCTATTTCTATTTCTATTATAACATTTTCTCAACGATTAATATATCAGAAAAAAATCAAATATTTACTTTTGTAAAGCGTGTCTGGGCGCCACTTAACACACTTTGAATGGGCAATTGTCTATATGACAGAAACGGGTTCTCAATTCTTATTTTTCCCTTTTTGTTTGGCAACAAAAAAACAGTTAGAGATTTATTCAAAAAAATCAGAAATTAAAAAGGAATCAAAACCCTTCTTTCTAGTTTCTTACATTTTGCAGAATCTGAATTCGGACTTCCATAACTTTTGTTTTTGAAAGTAGAATTCCATAATTTCCAACACAAAAGAAGCGAAAGAATCACTTGCCAAATCCACTTGAAATAGTCAACGTGGCTATGTATCTATTGGTGCATCTTAATAATATAACAACAACAAATGTGTTTTTTTAACATCATATCATATATGTCTCTATATTATTAACAAAGCAAAAAATAAAAAATTTTAAACAAGAAAAAAAAAAACATACGATCCTCTCAGAAATAAAACCCTAAAAGGCCTCGTAAGAACAAATCCCTTTGCAACAAATCGGTGCCGTCAATTTCTACATCCAACGGTCATGATCACTCCACGGCTCGTGCTTATCACTCTCCTCTTTCTTCTCACTTCACTGTCTCCCCCCCTCTCTCTCTCTCCAACTCTCTTTCTCCCTAACTCTTTCTGACTCTCTTTCTCTCTCTTGTCTACAAAAATGGCTGAACCCACTTCTGATCGTCTTCGCCTCCCAATCTTAACTCGATCTCTATTTCGTCGAGAAGATTTCTAACCTTCACAGAGTACAGAATTTATATCTAACACAAAACTCAAACCTTTTTGCTTTCTTTTTCCAGTATTTTCCATTTTCTCAGCTCAAATTCTGAGCTTCGACTTCGCAGTTTTTCTCATCACAGAACGAGCTGTTTCAACCCTTTCTCTAGGGATTGAACAAATTTCAGCTTAAAGTTGCAATCTTTACTCAAGTGTCATTTCATCAAGTTTTGTTTTTTTTTTTTTTTTTTTTTTTTTTTTGATCGTGATATGATCACCGATAGCTATTCGAAGATGATATCCGAGATTTCAATGCGATCGATGCTCAAAAACGCCGATTATGGCGAAGATTTGGGGATGTTGATTCGCGAGCAGAGGCGTCAACAGGAATCGAGCGAGCGAGAGAAGGAGGTCAGCCTCTACCGGAGCGGCTCAGCTCCGCCAACCGTCGAGGGCTCGCTCAGCGCCGTCGGAGGATTGTTCGACGCCTCGGCGGCGGCGGCGGCGCTCTCGAGCTTCAAGAAGAACAGCGGCAAAGGGTTCACCTCTGAGGAGGAGCTCCGCTCCGATCCTGCCTATGTGAATTACTACTACTCCAATGTGAATCTCAACCCTAGGCTCCCTCCGCCGCTGATTTCCAAGGAGGACTGGCGGTTTTCACAGCGGTTGCACGGCGGGAGCGGCGGCGCGTCGAGTCCGAATAGGTCGTCGCTGTTCTCCGTTCAGCCGGGGATTGGTGGGAAGGGGGAGAGCGAGGTTGAGTCGAGGAAAGGCGCCGTGGCGGAGTGGGGCGGCGACGGGTTGATTGGGTTGCCCGGATTGGGACTGGGGAGTAGGCAGAAGAGCATTTCCGAGATCATTCAGGTGAAGTTTCAAAGAACTGTATTTTAAAGTAATTCATTTTTTTTAATGCTAAAGGAAGTTAAGTTTGTTGAATTTTAGATGCTGAATGTATTGATTTGGTATTTGAAATTTCATACTTTATCTTCAAATTTAATGTCTTTGCCTGGGCTTAAGTCATTACAGATGTTCATTCATCTTTGGGATGTTCTGATGATTATAGGATTGGCTAACTATTCTTTGTTTACGTGTGTCAGGGCTTTGAGGACACTGCCATTATTTGTGTATGATGGAAAGGCTTATATATTCTTTGTATTTGTGAATTGTGGTTTATATCATTATTTAGTTATTTTATGCTTTCACTTGATAATGAATTCTATTTTTTGTTCACAATTTTCTGTTTTATGGGAATTCTATTTTGTTCTATGAATGGCATGTTACTGAAATGTGATTTTTTTGTTTGTTTGTTTGGATGTTAAAGGTGTTTGAGATCTGATTTAGAGGAAGCTGATGTTCGCTTTATTTTATTTCTACTTTTCTTTCCTTATGGTTGTTTGCTATTTGTATATTTTTCTTGTAATTTTTCGTAAACATTCATTAAATGAGACGTGGCTTTTGCAAATATAATGTCTCTTTAAGGGATTTTGTTACTCGAGTTCTGGATTTTATGGCGATTCTTACGTTTAATGAGATGTGAATTCAATGATGGTGTCAACATTCTTTCTCATGTTATTTTTTTTTGGTGCCTTAGAGTTCATTGATGGATGAACTCTGCGCTCTGTACTTTTTTTCCCCTTGTAAGGTCAAATAATAATGCATGTTTTTATGATTTATCTTGTAAACAAATTGTCTTTTTTCTCCGTAATTCATTAAGCGGTTCTAAATGCTTTATATTTAATATTTGTTTTGAATGTAGGATGATTTAAATCATGCAAAATCTGTTTCGAGGCAACCTTCTCGTCCAGCTAGTCGCAATGCTTTTGATGAGGGTGTTGAAACTTCAGAAGCCCAGTTTTCTCATTTGCATCATGATTTGGCATCTAGGGATGCTCTGCGCTCTGGTGGAAACAAGCAGGGTATGTCTGCTGTCCAAAACGTTGGCTCCTCAGCTTCTCATAGTTATGCATCTGCTTTGGGTGCTTCCTTATCGAGAAGCACCACACCTGACCCTCAACTTGTAGCTAGGGCTCCCAGTCCTCGTATTCCAACTGCTGGAGGAGGTAGGGCTACCCCTATTGATAGAAGAAGCGCCACTGGTCAAAACTCATTCAATGGCATCTCACCCAATCTCGGCGAGTCTGAAGATCTAGTAGCTGCTTTATCTGGCATGAGCTTATCAGCAAATAATATGTTAGATGAGGAGAAGCATGCGCGGTCGCAAATTCAGCACGAACTTGATAATCGCCGTAATATATTCAATATGCAAAGTGATCAGAATCATACCAAGCAGACTTCATATTTAACTAAATCTGATTCTGGGAATTTTCATGGACATTCTTTTTCGCAATCGGCTAAAGGATCTTATCAGAGTATGGGTAAAAGCGGCGGGGTTGGAATGGACTCCCCAACTCTTAATGGCAGAGGGACCTCATCTTCTCACTACCACAATGTTGACAATTCCAATTCCTCGTTTCCAAACTACGGGTTGTATGGTGTTAGTCCTCCATCTCCAACTATGATCGGAAGTCCAATGGGGAGTGGTAATTTGCCTCCGTTATTTGAAAGTGCTGCTGCTGCATCTGGAATGGGTGGCTTGGACTCTGGGGCATTCGGAGGAGGTTTAGCTCTAGGACCAAGTATGTTGGCAGTAGCAGCTGAATTGCAGAATGCTGGTAGAGTCGGAAATCACTCTGGAGGGATGCCCTTGATGGACCCGCTATATCTTCAGTACTTGAGGTCAAATGAGTATGCTGCTGCACAGGCTGCGGCTCTTAATGATGCCACCATGGATAGGGAAGGCATGGGTAACACGTATATGGACATATTTGGACTCCAGAAAGCTTACCTTGGTGCATTGCTTTCACCTCAAAAATCACAGTTTGCTGTTCCATACATGGGCAAGTCTAGCAGCTTGAATCACGGGTATTATGGAAACCCTGCGTTTGGTCTTGGCATGTCCTATCCTGGAAGCCCGTTGGGTGGTCCGCTTCTTCCAAACTCACCCGTTGGTTCGGGCAGTCCGGTCAGGCACAGTGAGCGGAATTTGCGCTACTCCTCTGGGATGAGGAACATGGCTGGTGGCCTCATGGGAGGTTGGCATGCAGAAGCTGGTGGAAACTTGGATGATGGTTTTCCATCCTCTTTATTGGATGAGTTCAAAAGCAACAAAACTAAATGTTTTGAACTTGCAGAAATTGCAGGCCATGTTGTTGAGTTCAGGTATGTGTATGATGATGTTTATTTCAACCTTGCACAAGATTAATTTGACTTGTCTTCCAGAAATAAAAACTCGCTTTTTCAAAACAGTGCGGATCAGTATGGAAGTCGCTTTATTCAACAGAAACTCGAGACTGCCACAACGGAAGAAAAGAACATGGTCTTCAATGAAATTATGCCCCAAGCCCTTTCTCTAATGACGGATGTGTTTGGTAATTATGTGATTCAGAAGGTACTTTTATTAGATTTATTCAGATATTATATGCCAACTGCAATGTGCTATTGAGTTTTAGTGTGCGTGACTTATGCGTGGGTATTGTGTCTAACATTTACCTTTCACTTAGTTTTTTGAGCATGGAACTGCACCACAAATAAGAGAACTAGCTGACCAGCTCACGGGACATGTCCTCACCCTTAGCCTTCAAATGTATGGCTGTCGAGTGATCCAGAAGGTATATTTAATTACTCTGGAAAGTGGCATAAGATAAATTTGTTGATTGTTATGCATTTTTTCACTTGTTGGGCTTTCTGACTTGATAGTTGTAGGGTACCTCTACTTTTTTCATATCAACTTTTATTCAGTGTTGAGTATGTCACTTGATTTCTACGGTGTCTGGAAACTCTTTTATAGCCCTGTCTAAACATTCAGTGAATGGAGAAAATAACAGGAACCATCTCTTTTACTGTGTTTGTGAGGTCCAGCTTCCCAAGTGAACCTCTAAAGTGTACCCCTAAAGTTCTTATAAAAAAAGGAAGTGAACAAAAGTTCAGGACATTTGGATAAGTTTCATGACCCAGAAAACTAGAGTTCATTGTGCTTTTGCTCTAATGGAATTAGGGTGACACCTTGATACGTATGGAATCATAGCTTGCTGTTTACAGTTATAGAAACCTTTTTTTTTCTGATCTTCCATTGAATTGTCTGCGTGTTTGTGTCTGGCTGGATGTTTGTTGGTGTATAAAGTTTATGATTTGATGTTGATATGTCTGGTACAACAAAATTGAGCTTGGTTTGTTTACTTTGATTATAATTGTTCAGGCTATAGAAGTTGTTGATCTGGACCAGCAGACCAAAATGGTAGCAGAACTGGATGGTCAGGTTATGCGTTGCGTGCGTGATCAGAATGGGAATCATGTCATCCAGAAGTGTATTGAATGTGTTCCTGAAGATGCTATCCAGTTCATTGTTTCAACTTTTTATGACCAAGTTGTCACACTATCGACTCATCCATATGGTTGTCGTGTTATACAGGTAAAGAATGCTTCTGTTTAACTAATCACATTTATATATGCGAAACCTATGCAATACTCACTATGTTTATTTGTTTGAATAGGTTAGGTAGTGTGAGAATAAATGAATTCACATGTTATAGTTGTGATTCTAAACGATAAAATTTTGACAATACAGAGAGTCTTGGAACACTGCCATGACCCCAAAACTCAACGGATAATGATGGATGAGATTTTGCAGTCTGTTTGCATGTTGGCACAAGACCAATACGGGAATTATGTTGTACAGGTTTGTTGTGTATTTCATGCCCTTATGCCCATAAACTATGAGGGTCGTTCACTTTGGTCCCCGAGCTTCAAGTCTCTAAACGTAGAATATTGTCTCAGTTTGTACCCTTCATCATTTTCTTTCAAGTCTTTGCTTGAATTTGGCAATTTTCTTCAATGATGATGATGAAATACATGATGGCATGTTTTGATTAAAAGAAAAAAAATGATGTTATGTGGCAGAAGGTGCTAATTGAGAGAAAATTTTTTGAATATAGGGACAAAATGAGTCGACCTCTATTTTTTGGGGGCATGAATGTAACTAGACCTATTCTTATGATTTTTTCTCTTTTTCATTTGTCACTTCAAGTTCTTTCAAATGCGGGTTTAGGATGTTAGAAGTTATGCAAATGCACCCACTGCCAACAACCTAGCCATGAGGATGTATTTTTTCGCGACATTATCACCAATAATATATCATTTTATAGATCTTCTAGAAAAAAACGTCAAAATTAAATGGAGGCATGCCATTTTTTTCCTTAATATAAGTTTATAATTGTTCTAATGTCATTTTGCAGCATGTTCTGGAGCATGGAAAGCCACATGAGCGCACTGCTATAATAACAAAATTGACTGGACAAATAGTTCAAATGAGCCAGCAGAAGTTTGCCTCAAATGTGATAGAGAAGTGTTTAACTTTTGGAACTCCTGTTGAACGCCAGATCCTTGTGAATGAAATGCTTGGTTCCACTGATGAAAATGAGCCCCTTCAGGTATGGGCCATGGCAACCATACATGCATGCTATCTATCTATCTATAAACTAAGAATGTGTTAAAGCTTTTGTGAGCTTATTCTCTCATTTTTTTTTCTTTTCATTAATACGATATGTTAGATCTGATTTTACGTCTGGTGTTCCAGAAGATATTGGAACACTGTCTGGAACATGACTTAATTAATTAATATCCAAGTTAATTACGTTCAGTTGCTTGAGCAGAATAAAGTGCATAAAGTAAAGGAGCACAATATGATATTGCAGTTTGGTGCGCACATCTACATCTACAGGGCTACGCCCAGACAATAAATAGCTCACTATTTTGTAGAAATTACAGACACCGGACGAAATTATTCACTCAAGGACTCCCTCCTAGATAATGACACCGCTGTGACAAATCTCCACAGTGATTGTTTAGCGTGCACCACACGTCTTCTATTCACCTGGCGAACTCCCTTCGACCGGCATAGCTTTCTCCCGAAAGCAATAAATCTCTTTCCCGAAGGACGATCACAATAACTCACAAAAATTCACAGACGTCTCTCTGAATATTTTCTCAATAACAAGCTCTCAAATTCATAGACTTTTCCTCTGGAGATGTTCTATTAAATCCATGCCACAAATGAGCATCCTAGAGCCGTTTATATAGAACTTGTACTCCACGACAACCTCAGATAACTTCATTAATATCTAATAATTATCTCTTCTTTAACCAATTGCTTTAGCTGAATATTTTCTTTAATTATCCCACGTTTGCATCACTAACTTTATTCTTCAAATATAATTCAAACTTCAAATCTCCATGCACATTTTTATTATCTCTACGTGCACAATATCTTCACAATGGCTTAGTTATCACATTGGCTCCATGTGGATAACATCATGTAATGCGAGCCAAAGCGACTTTGAATTTCAAACGTCACCCAAATTTCAAATGCCCAATATATATATATATATATATATATATGGATTTTTCTCTTGCCAAATCAATCTTCCATTGTAATTCGAATTCAATTTAAATTCTAATCCAACCAAAAGTCAAAAACCGGATAATCATCACAATAAAATCTCCACATAATCTTTTTGATCCTTGTCTCTTTTGATCCTTATCTCTTTCTAGAATCCCATTTAAATTCAAATAACCAATGTCTTATTTTCTTTTGACAAGGGTCTTATCCTTATCTCTCTAAATCTTAACTAATGTCTTATCTTTCTTTGATCAAGCCTTTATCCTTATCTCTTCTGGTGCAGCGGAGTAGTTGTTTGAAACGAACAATTAAGAACACAAGTTGTAGGGGGATTGAATGAAAATTTTGAAATATTACTCAATTGTAATGTTTTTTTTCTGAACACAAGTCAGAAACTTAAATAGAATGCATACTACTAAGAATAAGAAACTAACTTAGAACACAATTAGGAAACTTAGAAAATAATTGTAGAAAATAACAAAATAGGAAAGTAATAATAAGAATGGGAAAGTTGCTAAACGTGTGCTGCATCAATCTCTTCCCCTTGAAGAAAACTCGTCCTTGAGTTTGATTGGGTCAAAGAAAACTCATCCGGTGGATAATATTCGAAGATATCAGCAACATTGAAAGTATTGGAAATGTTCATGTTAACGGGAAGCTCAATCTTGTAAGCATTATCGCCAATCTTTTGGAGAACTCAAAAAGGGCCAATCTTCTTATGCTTGAGCTTATTGTAAGTGCCTATCGGAAACCGATTCTTACGCAAATGCACCATGACCAAGTCACCCGTTTGAAAGATCTTTTCGTGCCTATGCTTATCTGCTGTTGATTTGTACCGAGAATTAGCCGCCTCGAGATTTTTCTATACTTTATTATGAATCTGTTGAACGCGCTTAGCAAACTCCTCAGCTTCATAATTGACATTGGCGGAAGGAGGAAGATGAATCAAATCTATAGTATGCTTCGGAGCACTAGTGTAGACAATTTCAAAAGGTGTCTTCTTGGTAGAACGATTTGGCACACTGTTGAAAGCGAACTTAATTTGTGGAAGGGCAGCATCCCATTGCTTCGGTTTGTCTCCACACACAGCTCGAATCATGTTGCCAAGGGTTCGATTAGCCACTTCAGTTTGCCTGTCTGTTTGTGGATGGCTCGTACTGCTATACTTTAAAGAAGTATTGAACAGCTTCCACAACGTCCTCCAAAAATGACTTAGGAATTTTACATCCCTATCAGAAGTAATTGAACGGGGAACACCATGCAAGCGAACAATCTCCTGGAAAAATAAGTGAGCCACATAAGAAGCATCAGAGGCTTTCTTACAAGGAAGAAAGTGAACCATCTTAGAAAATCGATCGACCACAACAAAAACTAAACCAGCTCCACGTTGAGTTCTTGGAAGACCAAGTACAAAGTCCATGGTTAAATCTTGCCAAATCGTCTTTGGAATAGGTAAGGGAGTATAGAGGCTAGTATTTTGAGCTTGACCCTTGGCCTTTTGACATATTGGGCAACGCTGAACAAAACGTCCAACGTCCCGCTTCAACTGAGGCCAATAAAATCGTTCCTCAACCAAGCTAATTGTCTTATCGCGGCCAACATGGCCGCCTAAACCTCCAGCATGCAACTCTCGAATCAAATATTCTCGCAAAGAAGACTGAGGAATGTAGAGTTGTCCCTTTAAACAAAAATCCATCCTGTATTAGGAAATCAGTAACAAATTCCTTGTTGTTACATCTTGCCCATATACCTGCAAAGCCCTCATCACCAGCATAAATAGTCTTTAAAGAATCAAAGCCCACCACCTCTGTACTAATGGTAGCGAGTAAAGAGGCGCGTCGACTTAAGGCGTCCGCTACCTTATTTGATTGTCCCGATCTATGCTTGATGACGTAATTGAACTTCTGCAAAAATGCAACCCATCGAGCATGTATCCTATTGGTCCTTTTCTGAGAGTTGATATATTTTAGAGCTTGATGATCTGAAACAGCACAAACTCCCGTTGAATCAAATAGTGCTCCCAATGTTTTAAAGCTCGGATAGTAGCATAAAATTTGAGTTCGTAAGTAGTCCACTTTTGCCGGGGTTCTGCAACTTTCTCACTGAAAAACTCGACAAGATGACCCTCTTGGGATAAGACAGCTCTAATTCCCAGAACTAATGCATCACATTCAACCTCGAGCATCTTCTCAAAACTAGGGAGCGCCAACACAGGAGCAGAACACAGTTTTTCTTTGATTATCCCAAAACTCTTTTCTTGCATTTGTCCCCATTGAAACTGTCCCTTTTTCAAGCAATCGGTAATGGGTGCCATGATATTACTAAATCCTCGAATAAAACGCCTGTAAAAAGTGGCTAAACCGTGGAAGCTTTGAACTTCACGCACGGTTCTCGGAGTTGGCCATTCTCTAATGGCCTTCACCTTGGCCTCATCAACTTGAATACCGTCTTTGCCCACTATAAAGCCAAGAAATAAAAGTTAGTTGGTCATAAAACTGCATTTTTTTAAGATTGAGATATAGTTTATTAGCACTTAAAGCTAAAAGGACCTCCCTGAGATGTATCAAATGCTCCTCCTCGTATCGACTATATATAAGGATGTCATCAAAGTACACCACCACGAACTTCCCAATAAACGGGCGAAGAACCTGATTCATCAAACGCATAAAGGTGCTAGGCTCATTAGACAACCCAAATGGCATCACCAACCATTCATAAAGACCATCCTTAGTTTTAAAGGCTGTCTTCCACTCATCTCCAGGCCGAATGCGAATCTAATGATATCCACTGCGTAAATCAGGTTTAGTGACACCTTAGCTCCCTCCAATTTGTCAAGCATATCATTAAGTCGCGGTATGGGAAACCGGTACTTGACAGTAATTTTATTAATAGCTTGATTGTCAACACACATCCTCCAACTTCCATCTTTCTTTGGAGTGAGCAAGGCTGGGACTGCACAAGGACTCATGCTCTCTCTAAGTAATCCTTTATCAAGCAATTCATTAACTTGTCTTTGCAATTCTTCATGTTCAATTGGGGCTCATGCGATAATGCGGCAAATTAGGCAAACTAGCTCCAGGTATTAAATCGACATGGTGTTGAATATTACGCATAGGAGGCAATTCATTAGGTAATTCACTAGGATATAAATAAGCAAAATCAGAAATTACCTTTTGAACTCTGATTGGAATTTTGACAATGGCTTCAGAATGACCTTTGACAACCAATGCTACCACAAAACTCAGTCCCTTGACATGCTCAAAAAGTTCCGGACTCGTGATAGTAGTAAAAAGTGGCTTATCCTCCTTGGTAACAGGATTAGATTCCTGTGTTTGAGACTGTGGTGCCAAAACGATCTTTTTATCCCAAAAGACGAAGGTATTATCTTGGCCCTTATAAGTAGCACCAACATCATAGTGCCATGGTTGTCCCAATAAAATATGACAAGCATCCATATCCACCACATCACAGACAATTTCATCCTTGTAGTACTTTCCAATCGACAGAGGAACTTTGCAAGTTTCTAGCACTTGAACTTCTGGCCCTTTTTTAATCCATGCTATCTTGTCTGGAGAGGGATGTTTTTTAGTCTTCAGGTTTAAGGCTTTCACCAAAGCTTTGGAATCCACGTTCTCACTACTGCCACTATCAATAATCACATTGCATACTTTATTCTGAATAGTACACCTAGTTCGGAATATTTTGCGGCGTTGCTAATCATCTAGCCTTTTTGGAGCAAGCAAAAGTCGTTGGACAATGCAGGCCACTTCTTCTCCCACATCTCCTCCTTCAATCTCAGCACCCTCATAAATATCTTCCCCAAGCTTTTGTGTCTCTTCATTGCTACCGTCTTCTGCATTTACCAAGGTTAGGACGCGCATGGGGGTCATTATTGACTTGTGGTTGCTGCTGGTTTCTGCCTTGGGTGTTAGGACGAGTAGGGGCTGAAGTCCCGCTTTGGTTCTGTATTGAATTTCGAGTCGGTGGGACGTCTTTACTAGTGTAATCGCTGCTGCCCGAAGATGTTGATCC